GAATAAAACTAATTTCGAAAAAATTATAAGGATTGAAGACTTGATCTGCAATAAATGACCCATTTCATTAAGGGTAAAACTGACTTTTTAACAAAAATCTTAAAAAGCCACTATTCATAGGTCATTTTGCAAAATCTCCCCTGAAAACTCAATGCCTAGACTTTCTGGGCTGAAAAGGATATATTTATTTATGGGAAAATTAGGTTCACTACTCTAAAAAAATAATTTTTGACATCCATTTTATTTGAAAAATAATTTTTGGAATAGTGATTGATGGAAGATTGTGTGGTTAAAAAGTAAGGAGAATTTTTGGATTTATATATAATATTATTTTATTGATAAAATGTGTGGTTGAAATGAAGAAAGAGAAAAAAAATAGGTGTCAAACGGGGGCTAATACACTTCCAAACAAGGTGTTTAAAGAGTGAAATATGCTTGATGATTTGGAAAAATGGGGACTGGAGTTGTCTATGGTTGTGCTAGGGAAGAAGCTTGGAGCAATACATCATCATAGCTGGAAGTAATAGATGTTTTCAGTGTGGGTAATGGAAGAATATGGTATGGTTGGATATTGGAGGGGGTGTACACTGTTATTATGATGAGAGAATATGAGAAGTTTGTGAGAGTAATGGAAGAGTATGGTATGGTTGGATAACAAAAGAGTAGTGTATGGTTCATCGGAATGTGCACACCAAGTGTTTGACATATTGTTTCACCCAATTCCATCTGTCAATATGGTTTCAAAGATCCTTCCAAAGTGATTCCTTAAGAATGTGATGAAGATGATATAAGAGCGCAACCTTGCTTATGTAAGTTATGTTCATTACTTCTTGAATTTCAAAGGATTCTAGAATGGCACATAAGCTTGGCTAAATGGTAGAACCGTATTAGCAATCCGTATTCAGAATCAAGTTTCAATAATTTTTGAAGTGGATATCCATCCAGGAGCAAAAAATGGATAGGGCATAATATTTGATCATGCCATTGGAATTGTGATTGGTGAAACATCGTTGTTGGATATAGAGTTACAATTTTACATGAACACTAGAGGGTACAATGAAGATTCAAGGGAACAGATACTCAAATTGGAGATGGGATTCAGATAGGTACTGGGGTTAAGATTTTGGGCAATGTTAAAATCGGAGAAAATGCAAAAATTGAAGTAGGATTAGTTGTTTTAAAGGAAATTCCAGCATGTGCAACAACAATTGAAAATCCTGAGTAATTAGATTGAAATAAACCAAAGAAGACTCTACTTATGAGTTTTATTTTAATAATGTCATTGTATACAATGTATCATTTCATTTAAACTTGAATTGCTTCTTTTGCTTTCCTTTTAGCTTTCGGTATTCTGCCAGCCTCCGATCGGACAATTAATAACTCAAATTGTGTTACACCAACATGAAAAATTGTCAACTTGTCACTTTTTTTGAATTTGTGTCCCCTTTTTTTCAATGTGTCACTTTTTATTAAATTTTTATCACTTTTTCAATCTTTGTTACTTTTGTTGTCAATTCTTTCAAATTTCTATCGATTTTTGAGTGACAAACATCATTTTTTTTTTGTCGCCTTCTTGAAATTTCAATCATTTTTTTAGAACAAAATCACTTTTAATAAGAGTGAGATTGTAAAAAATGACACTAAATTTTTAAAAGTGACATTGTATCACTTTTTTTTATAAAAAAAAATGATAATTTTATCACTTTTTTTTGTGTGTATAACTTTTTTGTGTGTTTCTCACTTTTTTTTCTAAATTTCTTTTCACTTTTTATTGTTTGT